TACTACTATTATTAAAAGAAAAACAAATAGTGTACCGATTAAATACAACCAATACAGCCAAAAAGGATCCAAAAGCATATGATACCAATATACTAATATAGTATATAACTATACTAACAGGGTATATAGTTGTACGGGGTTGTACCAACAACTGCCTATAACTATAAAAACTATTACATAACACACATACTCTATGTCCGTAGGCACAAGAGAATCTCAACAACGCAAAACATGACTATATAAATAATTTCAGAAATAGATTCACTTAAAAATGCAGCTAAAACAACCAAAAAATGTTACAGCTACCATATGATACCAATATGGCATAAAAATATACCAACAAGTTATACAGTTCTACTGGTTAATTCTCGCCAACTATGTATGACTATTCTACTATTACATAACACACATGCATAAAGAGAAAAATAAAAAAATAGTGTACCACATATTAATATAATAAAGTATTTTAAGATATTGTACTATACTACTATTATTAAAGAAAAATCAGATAGCGTACCAATTAAAGGAAGTTAATACAACCAAAAAGGTATGATACCAATATAGTATATAGCTATACCAACATGGTATATAATTATATGGGGTCGTTCCTGCAACTGAGATTCCAACAAACATATGGTACCAATATATTATATAATACCAACAAGGTATACAGTTATACGGGGTCGTTCTCAGTTTTCACAACTGACTATAACTATAATATAATACAAAAGCATACAAGGAAATAAAAAAATAACAATGTACTATATGTTCTAAAGCACATGACCTAATTTTAAGAAAATTACCTTATGTCACGACCCAAAATACCTTCGGGACTGTGATGACGCCTAACATTTCACTTGCTAGGCAAGCCAATGTTAGAATAATATTAGCCATTTTAAAATAATTTTAAATTAATTAATAATAAAAAAACAAATGTGAAAATAAAGTCTGATATAAAGTGAATAATCCATATTAATTGCGATGTCTAAATACCATCCCACAACTGGTGTCACAAGTGCACGAGCTACTAGAATAATATAAATAAAGGTTTGAATGAAAATGAAGCTGTCTGAAAGAAATACACAGCTACGATAAAGTAGAAGGGGATTTCAGAACTGCGAACGCCATACAGTTATACCTCAAGTCTCCTACGAATAGCTAAATCCGAGCAAATCTACTGTACGCCACTGGGACCAACTCCGGTATCTGCACGAGAAGTGCTGAGTGTAGTATGAGTATAACCGACCCCATGTACCCAGTAAGTGCCGAGCCTAACCTCGACGAAGTAGTGACGAGGCTAAGGNTGGCGTACAACCCGATCCCACAATATATTCATATTCAATTCCGTTGCGGCGTGCAACCCAATCCCACAATATATTAATTTTCATTTAATCCCGTTGCGGCATGCAACCCGGTCCTCAATATATCTTTCAATCAATTCTGTTGCGACGTGCAACCCGCTCCTCCAATATATTCATTTCAATAAATTTTATTGCGGTGTGCAACCCGCTCCTCTAATATATTCATTTCAATCAATTCTGTTGCGGCGTGCAACCCGCTCCTCCAAAAATATAATTTACCAATTCTTATAAAAGAAATTACTCCAATAAATACAACAATTAATATAAAATTATAAGACAACAAACATACAATAATTATAATTTATTTAGAAATAAATGATGGCACGTAGCAATTAATTATGGAAATTAAGGAGAAAATAAGCAATTTAATAATTAGTATGCTAAATGTCAAGTAGCAATTAAGTCACATAAATCAAATAAGCACGTAGCAATTATAGCATGGATTCAAGGCATAATATTGAGCAAGAAATATGAGAAAAATAATTAATATAATAATTAAGTCATGATTTAAAATAATTTATGATTTTCAAATAATTAGGCAAACAATTAATTCGATGACGTATAGACACTCGTCACCTCACCTATACGTCGTTCACATGAATTTCACATAACAAATAATTCAATGGTTCTATTCCCTCAAGTCAAGGTTAACCACGATACTTACCTCGCTTTGCAACCAATTTCAAGATTTCAATAAACCTTTGCCTCACGAATTCGTGTCCGAAAGCTTCAAATCTAGGCACAAATAATTCAATATACTCAACACGAATTGTAGGAATTAATTCCATATGAATTTACTAATTTTCCAGATTAAGATCCGAAATTTATTTTAAAAATCGGCAGTGGGACTCATGTCTCGAATCCCGTAAAAACTCACGAAATCTGAGTACCCATTTCGAAATGAGTTCAACCATACAAAAATTATCGAATTCCGACATCGGATTGACCTTTAAATCTTCATTTTATATTTTTGGAAGATTTTTTAAAAATCTGATTTTTCTTCCATAAATTCACGGATTCATGATGTAAATGAGTATGGAATCATGAAATATAATCAATATAGGATAAGGAACACTTACCCCAATATTTTCCTGTGAAAAATCGCCCAAACAATCGCCTAAATTCGAGACTCAAAGCTCAAAAATGAGTAAAAATAGCAAAACTCCCCATTTTTTGAGGGTTTTATGTCTGTGGCGCCTAGGTGGCGTGAGGCGCTGCCTGTGGCATCGTTTCCAGAACTTCAGAAGTCCCAGCGCCAGGGATAGCACCCCACGCTACCCTGGACGCTGATGGCGACAGGAAATATTTTTCGACACGCAAATGGGCATAACTCTCTCATACGATGTCCGAATTCAACGATTATTTTTGCTATGGCTTCAAAATTTCAATACAAATCTAATGCTTTAATCAAAATTGAATTCGGAGCTCACTTTCTTAATATTATACCACTTATTCTTGAAGAAACGACGTCGAAACATTCTAGAATATTCAAATTAAATTCCGTTAATCATCTGAAATCCACCTGAGGCCCTCGGGATCTCAACCAAATATTCCAACAAGTCTCGTAACATAATAAGAACGTACTCGGGTCTCAAATCACGTCAAATATCGTCGAAATTACAATTCACACCTCGATTTGAACTTATGAGTTTCAAACTTTTCACTTTACAAAACCCGCACCGAAACGTATTGAATGAATCCGGAATGATTTCAAATTTGGCGCACAAGTCATAAATGACATAACAGAGCTATTCCAACACTCGAAATCTCAATTCAAATCCGATATCGATAAAGTCAAATTCACGTTCAAACTTTGGAAATCTTTAGCCTTTAGATTTTTAGTTTCCGTTAAATGGCGATAATTCGAGGTAGGGATCTGCGAATTCGATTTCGGACATACGCCCAAGTCCCAAATCACAATACGGACCTATCAGATTTGTCAAAATACTTATCCGGATCCGTTTGCTCCAAACGTTGACCGAAGTCAACTCAAATGAGTTTTGAAGCTCCATTTCGCATTTTAATCAATTTTTCACACAAAAACTTTTTCGGAAAAATTTACGGACTGCTCCCGCAAGTCGAGGGATACTGGAGGGTGATATACGAGGTCTTAGAATATAGAAATGAATGTTTAAAATTAAAGATAACATATTGGGTCATCACACCTACTTGGGTGCGACATCAATTTTTTTCTTCTTTACTTGAGAACCATCGCTACAATCAACATCGACTGGTTGAGTCTCTGTATCAGGCACGGATTCACGTCGGCTTCCCCCTAACTCAAAATCCTCAACAACTTTAGCTTTTCCCTTATCATTCACCGCAACACCTGCTATGACTGGTTCAGAATTTATTTCGGGTAATGACTGGTAGGGAGTTTCATCGATTGACGAAGCATCAATATTGTTGCCTTTTTACCCTCTAATTCTACATTTTTCAGTTGTGTTTTCAACACAACTACTGCTAGGGGTATGACTAAACACAGACGGAGAATTAGAAAATAATAAAAAATTAGGACCGGACATGACCGAGGCAACAGATTCAGCACCTACTTGGGTTGAAGAATGATGTTGTGCACGACGCCACCATCTACGCGCACAATGCTTTCGAGCCATAGTGAAAATAACAACCCACATACATTGATTCACAAAAGTACAAGGAAAAACACAAAATTTCTATGATTTTGAAAACTCACTTTCACTTAAATGTACTTTCACATCCAAAAATTTAGCCCAGAAATTACTATTAGACGAAGAGATAGAACGAAATATGAAGAAAAAATTCAAAAGTCGAATCACTAAATGCTGGGTGAAATATGGTTTCTCATGGTTTGGTTATGGAGGTTTTAAAACTAAATCTCTAGCGTTAAAGGACGAGGACAAATTAAATGAGGCATTAAATGACGGTGGGTATGGGAATCCGCTAATTGCGTGGGCTGTTGAGTGAAATAACTTGGGCCGGGTATGAGAATCCGCTAATAGGTGGGCCGCGTAAATAGTCTGGGCCGCATGAATAGAAAAAGTAAATAATTTGTGTCTGAGTATTAAATGGTAAGTAGTTTGGGCTTAATACGTATAAAGTGAAATTTTCTCATTATTATGCTAAGACTTGGACCCAACATTTACTCCCATATATTGTTGTTTTAACATAGAATATACTTTTCACTTTGAAGATATCTTTATGTTGCATAACACTCTCGTAGCGACAGTCTATATGTACTATCTACCATTTACCTAGAATATTGAGTCTAAATATCTTAGTCCTTTACCTTTAAGTAAAACGATTCAGTTTAATCTCACCTCAACATAATTTATTTTTTGCTGGATAAGAAAAATAATAAATAGCAAAACATAAAACATACAATATTAATCATTGAGTTTAATATATTAATATTTGACAATATTTAATCTTAGAGATTTATAAAAATAGTTTAAAAGTTAATTTGATAAAAGAAACAAACATCTAATTCAAAAGATATTATAATGAATTACTTAAAAAAAAATAGTCAGTCGTACGAATTTAAGGATAAACGTTGGTATTCATTTTTCTTGGTCAAACTAACCATATTGTATTTGTCAAAATTATTTATCTGTTGAGTATGAATAAGTTTAATTTAAAATAGAAAAAGAGAAAAGAGATATTCTAGTCTATTACAATTTTCAAAAGAAGACTTTTTTCCCCTATAATTTTTCCCCGTAGATTTTCAAAAACCTTTCTTCAATCTTTCCCCTCTGTCTCAATTTTGGATTTCATCAATCTTTCCCTCTTTTTTAAGATCTATTTTACTCACAACTTATCAGTCACCACAGTCATATACCTGTGTGTGTGTGTGTGTTTTTTTTTTCTCTTGAATTCTTGAAATGACTATCGCAGAAGCGTTATCTGTGATTCCAGCAGCTGTTTTGCGTAATCTGTCGGATAAGCTGTACGAGAAGCGCAAGAATGCTGCTTTAGAGGTATTTTTATCTGGGGTTTNTTGGGTTTTTACCATTAAGAATTTATTTAAATCAGTTCACTTAAAAAGTAATACAGTTAACTGTACTAGCACATTGATTGGTAACATAGAATAAATGATAACTAACCTGTATTACAGTGATGTGTAAAAATTCATTACAATGTCAGTATATATAACTTAAATCCTTGTTTCCTTAGTTCAGGATTTTTCTGATATATTGATGTTTATTGGGTTTTTGTGTAGTTGGAAGGGATTATTAAGCAATTGACAGGTGCAGGTGATCATGACAAGATCACTGCTGTGATCAATTTGATGACTCAGGAGTATACTTACTCACCTCAGGCTCATAACCGGAAAGTGCGTTTGAATTCTACTCTTACAGTTTGTTTTGCATCATTTTGTACTGTATCCTATTGTAATGAATGTAGTGTGTTTGGTGTGACGGAAATTGATATCCTTGATGAAATTTATTTGTAAGTGTGGTTACTTTTGTTTTTTGTGGAAAATGTTTTCTCCAAGAAAAATAATTTCCACCTTGAGGGAGGAGATGACTTCGTGTCCGCTGTAGGAGTGGAAGCAGTGGCAGAACCAGAAATTTATATAAGGGGATTCAAAAAATATTAGAATATCATAATTGAAATTTTGAACTTGTGACTTTTAAACAACTATTTGAACCCCTTTACCACTACACTAGAATCTTTCCCTATGCGGGGATCCAACAATGTATAACCAAAACATGTCATTTTTATCCTATTTTCATATTATAATTTTTAACGAAGGGGATCCAATTGAACCCCTTTCCCTCCTACTAGCTGCACCTCTAGGTGGAAGTAATTTTTCTTTACAAATATCACCATTCTTACTTATATCACTTGATTTAGTGACATTTGTAAACATACTCTTTACCTTCACAAGGTAGAAGTAAGACTGCGTACACTCTACCCTCCACAGATCCCACTTGTGGGATTACACCGGGTCTGATGTTGTCGTTGTTATTTAGCGACAGTTTTGTCAACCTTTAATAATACAAAACTTCACCAAACACTATTCACATACTCTATTTTCCACATTATATGATTATCATATGGTACCTACTTTATACCCAACCAAACACCGGGAAAAAAGTTTTCTTTGTAATAAGAATTGACTGTATTTTCTTTGTAATATGAATTGGTTATTTACTTTTTTTTGTTCAAATTATGTTCAGGGAGGATTGATAGGACTGGCTGCAGTAACTGTTGGTTTGACTTCAGAAGCAGCGCAGCACCTTGAGGTAGGGCGTTTACCTTGTGATCAACTTTGAAATTTCCTATCAGTTTTCAATTGTGGAAATGTGAGAATGTGCTCGAAACTTTTGGTTTAGCAATGAGAAATGGTGAGGTTATTCCCCAGGGTTTTGGTCTAGTGAGAAGAGTGCAAAGCGTGATGTGCGGATTAGACACACGTCGCGGATTCAAACCCTAAAGCGGACAAAAACCTGGTATTTAAGTGGAGAAAGTTAGATGGGCGGGCCCAGAGCTACCGAGTTCTGAACCGTGCGCCACTGTATCTCTGGAATTTCTCGCCC